ATCTTGGAGGAGAGTGACCTGCGAGATCCCCACACATCACCCAGCCAAGTTGGTGTAATCGGATCCCGTCCACCTGCAGCATCGTCCAAGTCTCTCATGAGCCAGCGTTTGAACCCCACAGCTCCCACATTCATGGGCAACATCTTCCGTAAGGATAAGGACAAGGACGGAGGCAAAGACAAGTCCAGGGAAGACAAGGGCAAAGGCAAAGAGCTCACAACACCATTCACTGACTTCCCCGAGAGTCACGATGACTCGCCCTCTGATTCTCGGATTTCCAGGGACACATACTCTTTTCACACGGGCACGTCGGTCTCGGAGTCTCACGAATCGTTGCAACTAGACCTGACGCAGTCCAACACACCGTCAGATATGAACTCTGTGTCAACATCAAATGCGAAAGATTCAGATAATGTAGTTCGGAAATTATTCCGCAAAGGTAGCTCTAGCAAGTTCAGTCTTTCCTCTAGGCTTGGCAAAGAGTCTGGGCTTTTTAAGAAAGGCCCGGGAAGCACGTCCAACTCGGACAGGAATGCATCCGCCGAACAACGGATGAGCATCGGCAACGTAGATGACCTTGGCGAAGACGGCACGCCCTTAGGGCGCAGTTTTGACAGCATGACCAGCAGCCCATCTCTTGGTCCATCAAAGTCGAAAGACAGCAAGGAAGGACGAATGAGCTCCTGGCGCTTCTCTATGCGTAAGAAGGGTAAGGACGCCCCGGCTAAGGACAAGGAGAGCTTGGAAATAGAACGGGCCCCCGAAGAGGACTGGCGATAGTCAAAAGCGGATTATGATTATACTCTGGATTAGCGGGTTACATTGAATACAAAGTAGCATTGGCATGATGAGATGAATGCTGGTTTCAATCTTCTTGAGTGATGTGCCTAGTGCCATGCCTAGGTTCGGACAATAGCACAAGAGGCGCACTACTCAATTGCAAGGGAGTAAGTATAGTACAGCCCAGGCCAGAAAGAACGAAACCCAAGACGCATATTGCGAGAGGACGGGACTGAATGTTGACGAGTCTGGTGCGATGTGAATAGGACTACCAAGTACTCCGTAGTACTAGTTACTTGGTACGGCGCACAGAAAAGCCCCTGGCTCTGCCGGCAGTCAGACCCGCTTTTCGATGTCGCTGACACGGACACGGACATGGACATGCGATGAGGTTGCAACATCTCCAAGATGCCCGAGTGACTTGACCTGTGGAGAATGCCAGCTTGCAGAACGCAGGATAGGCCTTGACCTCTGTATTTCCGAATTACTACTCCGTACACTTGCTCATCTGACCGAGCAAGCACTATGCCAGTCCCGTTGAATAAAAGCACATCTGGAGCTCCGGCTCTGGGTGCGGGTAAGGAGCTCCCCATTTCTATCGCAAACAATGCTCAGTCAATCCCACCAAGCTAACCACGGCCACGATTTTTTTTTTGTTTAAAAAAAGCAGTGGACTACGATCCAATGGAACATCTGAATATGCTGTTCTCACACCCGTCTACCGTATCATCAATAAGTCAAGTTTCACAAACTCTCAAAGCCCACCAAAACGCATTGTCCAGCGAAATCAATAGCCTCGAACTCGAACAAGCGTACAAGCCGGACTCAAGTCTAGAGCGGATGCAGTCGGCGCAGACAGAGCTGGCGGAGCTTTTCCGGAAAATAGAAACGGTGCGATCACGAGCGATTGAGACGGAGCAGAACATTACGTCCATGACGGCGGAAATCAAGCGTCTTGACGGCACGAAGCGTAACCTGACGCTTAGTATGACAGCACTCAAACGCTTGCAGATGCTCACGACGGCGTATGAACAACTTCGCGGACTTGCTAAAACCCGGCAATATCGAGAGTGCGCTGGTCTTTTGCAGGCCGTGATTCAGTTGATGAAGCACTTTAACAGTTACAGAAGCATAGAGCAAATTGCCACGTTGAGCCGCGAAGTATCCGAGCTCCAGAGGGAACTGCTCGAGCAGGTGTGCGAGGACTTTGAAATGACTTTTGTCAAGGGAGAAGTGGCAACGAAGAGGAGCATGCTTGTCGAAGCCTGCTTGGTCATAGATGCGTTGGGAGACTCGGCCAAGTCGAGAATCATCACCTGGTACGTGAACACGGAGCTGAGAGAGTATCGGCAGGTTTTCCGTGGGAACGACGAGGCCGGGAATCTGGATAACATTGGGCGGAGATATGCGTGGTTTAAGCGCATGGTGAAGACGTACGAGGATGAGCACGCGGCTATTTTCCCGTCACACTGGCATGTGGGGGAGTTGCTAACAACGGCCTTTTGCGACGGTACACGGGATGACTTCAAGGGCATTTTGGAGAGGAGCATGCGACGTGGGGACGGGGGCAAGGTTGACGTCAACTTGCTGCTGAGATGCCTGCAGGAAACTCTGGACTTTGAGCAGAGTCTTGAGAAGAAGTTCTCGGATGGGCCGAGGGCGAGCATTGATACTCTGAGCTCGACCGAGGAAAAGACGCACAACTTCAACGGGCTCATCTCTGTCGCTTTCGAACCGTACCTGAGCTTGTGGGTTGACTCGCAGGATAAGCAGCTGGCGTCCTTGATGCCAAAGTATCGCAACCAACCGCTTATTCCTGCCGATGAGGAGTTTTCTCCTCAGGGGATTATCCCGTCCGCCATTGAGCTTTTCCACTTCTACAAGCTGACTCTGTCGCAATGTGCCAAGTTGTCGACTAGTGATAGACTACTAGACCTGTCCAAAGTCTTGTCCAAGTACTTGGATGAATACGCGCAGCAAGTCCTGCTGCATATCCTTCAAGCCGGGGGATCTCACGGTCCGTCACTACACAATGCTATTCTGGTGCTCAACACTGCCGACTTTTGGTACATCAACACGGGCCAGCTGGAGGAGAATATAAAGAAGCGCATCGATAACGAACTCGTGCCAAAGGTGGATCTCTCGTCGCAAGCTGATGCTTTCCTGGGAGTGGCTAGCGCGGCTGTGTTGGCATTGGTACATCTTGTTGAGTTGGAATGCGAGGGGACGTGGCGTGAGATGAAGAATACAAACTGGAGTACAATGGACACGGCAGGCGATCAGAGCACGTATGTGGGCGAGTTGGTGAAGCACGTCAACACGAAGACGGAAGAGATACTGGGCCTGGTGGGCAAGCAGCAGTACGCAAGGGCGTTTTGCGATAACCTGGTCGAGCACATGGCCTCGGCTTACATCAATAACATTGTGGTATGCCGGCCTATTTCAGAGGTTGGCGCGCAACAGGTAGGCTTCGCGGACGGCAGCAAGCGTGCAAGCACACAGTCACTAACGTCCAACAGATGCTCGTAGACAAGTACGCACTCACCAAATCCTTCGGCAACCTCCTCTCCCACCACAACCCCTCGTCACCAACGCAGCAAGCACCCCCCTCGAGCTTCGTCCGCCGCGTCGAACACTCCATGAACCGCATGGATCCTCTCCTCAAAACCCTCCAAGTCCGCCCTTCGCCCCCCGAGGGCCTTGTCCAAGCCTACCTCATCCACATCGGCGACCGCTCCGACACAAACTTTAAAAAGATACTCGACCTCAAGGGCATCCGCAAGCAAGACCAGTCCCACCTCATCGAGCTATTTGGCATCCACCGCGACGGCAGTTCCAATGAGAAGCTCGTCCAGAGCTCCCCTCTGCTAACACCCCTCATGACGACGGCAGGCATGGGAAGTGGCGCTGGCATTGCCGGGATGAATCCCGGGGCGGCACTGACCGCTGCCTCTGGGGCAAGGTTCGACGCGGGCTTTTTAGGAGAAAAGCTTCTGAGTGCGGCCAGGGATATCGGAAACACTACGCAGAGTACGGAGAAGGCCACTATTAATGAGAACCTGAGGAATTTTGGAAAGTTCTTCAAGAGGGATATTGGAGGTTTGGGGGCGAGGTTTGGGAAGGGGAGTGCTGACGATGGGGGAAGGTAGTTTCCGGTCTAGACGGGAGGCGTGTAAATAAAGACGAGCACTGCTGCCTTTTCCTAGGTCAGATGCGGGAGTTGGATGGGGCACGGAGCAGTTTTCTCGGCATTGAAGGACGTGGTGAGCTGTGTCGTCACCGCGGCCTGGATAGGAAAGGAGATACGAATTCGTTATTCGGAGCATCGGTGTTAATGAACAGTGGGAACAAAAGCCTGGATACAAGCACCCATATGTAAAGTGCGGAACAATCTATGTGATTGCCGGGCTTGTGACTGTGGACTTGTATTGTCACCTGGTACCACCTTGGCTTGCCATCGCCTTGAATAATCCTGCCGTTACTGAATACTTAGGCAGATGTTGGTGGTGATGTAGGAAACATGGCAGAAGCAATGTCCTTGCCGTGTGGCCGAAAGGAGTATTCCAGGCTCCAAGAATGGCGAAATGAATAAAATCACAACCATGTACTCGTCGTCTTCGAGATGACTGGTATTTTCTTTAATGTCAAGTGTGTCCTATCCAGGTTCACGGCAGCTTATCTAATCGTCACGCCACTTGACTCAAGCTGGCGACTTCCGATGACGCCAGGGGCCGAAGAAGCATTTGGAATTTCGCCCAGCGCCCACAAGGTCCCCTGATTCCACCACCACGCGCCACCTCGTCCCGCAAAAAGTCAGTCACTTATTGGAATCAACACCTGCCAAACGCCGAAAGACAGAAATACCCACTCAACCACTCTGTAAGTCTCTGCGCGATGCTCCAAACCAAACGCCGATTCACATCATTGATGCCTAATCCCAGCTGGTCCTTCCTAGCCAACGCCGGAGCCCCTCTCGTGCTTGATTCTCGCAACCATCGACACCCCACCACGAATCGCGACATTTCCGACAACCAAGAGCATAGCGTGCAGGCTTCGGGTGTTGTTGCACTTATAAAACGCTCAATCTCCCCATCAATACCGCCAAACTGTTCGCCTCAACTTTCCGGCGGACTTTGCGCTCCAGTGCTGGGCTATCCATTGCGGCAGCCGCAGCGTTTCAACAAACTCGTTCTGGGGCCCAGGAAGTAGGCGTTCGCAAGATGCACAGCAAAGTTGTCAGTACGTGTGATTTCCTACCACAAAGTTGCGACATTATACTTGATTCGCGACGAGTGCTGACGAGAGAATAAAAAAATAGTTATTGGCTCGGGGCCAGCGGCCCATACTGCCGCCGTCTATCTGGGCAGAGCAGAGCTGAAGCGTGAGTTGGACCGTCTCTCTGTCCCGACACGGGAAAACCACAGACTAAATTGGCTGCAGCCGTTCTCTACGAGGGCTTCATGGCCAACGGCATCGCGGCAGGCGGCCAATTGACGACCACGACCGAGATTGAAAACTTCCCCGGCTTCCCCAAGGGCATCATGGGCCAGGAGCTAATGGTACGTCCTAACGTCCCAATCTTGTGTTGCATGTGAAAACACTGTCACAGCGGAAGGCACAAGACGCCTAACCCTCGGTCCCAGGACAACATGCGCGCGCAATCCGAACGCTTCGGCACCGAAATCGTCACCGACACCGTCACAAAGCTAGACCTCAGCAGCCGCCCGTTCAAGTACAGCACCGAGTTCTCGCCCGACGAGACGCACACGGCCGACGCCGTCATCATCGCCACCGGCGCCTCGGCGCGCCGCATGAACCTCCCCGGCGAGCAGACGTACTGGCAAAACGGCATCTCGGCGTGCGCCGTGTGCGACGGCGCCCTCCCGCTCTTCCGCAACAAGCAGCTGTACGTGATCGGCGGAGGTGACTCGGCCGCCGAGGAGGCCACCTTCCTCACAAAGTACGGCAGCCACGTCACCGTCCTCGTGCGCCGCGACGTCCTGCGCGCCAGCAAGGCCATGGCCACGCGCCTGCTCAAGAACGAAAAGGTCACGGTGCGCTTCAACACCGTGGCCACCGAGGTCCGCGGCGGCGCCGACAAGCTCATGAGCCACCTCGTCGTCCGGGACACCGTCACCGGCAAGGAGGAGGTCGTCGAGGCCAACGGCCTGTTCTACGCCATTGGCCACGATCCCGCCACCGCCCTGGTCAAGGGCCAGGTGGACATGGACGCCGACGGCTACATCATCACCAAGCCTGGCACCACCATGACCAGCATCGAGGGCGTCTATGCCGCCGGCGATGTGCAGGACAAGAGATATAGACAGGCTATTACTAGCGCAGGTGAGCTTTCCCTCTTTCCTTCATTTCTTGGCCCTTTTGGTGTCACGAGCGGGCGGCTAAAAATTGCTCTAGGTACGGGGTGCATGGCTGCCCTCGAGGCCGAAAAGTTTATTAGCGAGCAGGACTAGATTTCGGGCATAGAGTATAGAGTACATGTTAGAAAATCCGTTAGAAGTGTGCATAATATCAAATATATAAAACATCTGTCTCTCCCAATATCAAGAGCCCTGTTGCAATTGTAAGTTGACGTCGACGAACCAACGACACTACTCGCAATTCATTTTGCAGTGGCGACGACCTGCGAGTGGTTGCGTTGGTTCGCTAATGTTAACGTGCAGTTGTAACAGGGCTCTTGATATCACAAGAGATAGAGGTGATGGAGAGAGACAAATAAATAGAGGTGTTACTGGCGTGCCGCGATAAGTCGCTAATCTTATTCGTGCTTAACACATCGTGATATTGTTTATGGTGTATTAGTACATGGTTTATTACGGGTCCCTGGCCTAGGTACGGCTAATACATCATGTTGCCTGATGTGCTGCTTGCATGATTATTTATATTAATTAAAACATTTAAAAAAAACTAAAAAGTTGATAAACTAGGTATATAGAACCTTGCGCGTAGCCAGCAAGTCAAAAACTGGGAGACATTGCAGAGCCATCCCTGCAACTTTGATCATGGCACACATGGAGAATAATACATATAGCAACGGCATTCACGTTGTGTATATGAATTATATTGCGCAACAAGCACAGTAGCCATTACGACGCGCCAAGAGGTAATTACTTCGCTTCCAACATATTATATCCTTGTATGCATACACGAATGCGTCCCTGCATGGAACTATGCAACCCTGTGTAAATCCCTGTTTCAATATCCGTTTCTCATCTACTGCTAGTGTGACCCTCACAATAAACGCCCTCGCAATCCACGCCAAACCCATTTCCTTGTCTTGTCCCAAACAAAAACACTTTTATTCTCGCTCCAGCACGGCAGGAGCAGTAATAGTGGTGCCGCTGAGCTTCTCGAGACCTTCGCCACCCTGCCAAGGTGTTGTTAGCATATGCATTCACACGGCCCGGGGACGAAACAACGTGATTGACTTACGTAGCTGATTAAAGGCGAGATCTCAACGCCGCCGTCGGCCACAACAGTAGCTCCAGCAGCAGCAGCCCACCGCTGACCTTGGCCCATAATATCGGCCTTGCTGGTGTCGGGGTCGTCTTGACCCGTTCCGCGGGCATTCTTCAAAGGCGAGAATTCGTCCTCACGACGGACCTCCATGCACGCAAACTTATTCAGAGGCAGCATAGGGAAGACATCAAAAACAAACTGCTCAAGCTTGATGCCGTTGGGGGTCTCAGGCTTGACCGTCTCGCCCGACTTGGTGTCTGCGTGAGGAATCTTCTTTCGAGCAATGTGGTGGGGCAGCTTGTGAGCCCACTGGGGAATGGATTCGAGGAAGCGGAAAGAATAGTAGTGATTAACAATGTTGGCAGCTCGGAACTTGAGGACGCCAGGGTGCTTGGGATCCTCTGCTGCAGCGGTAGCCTTGTCAATCTCGGAATACTCAACAACGTCGGGCTTGCCATTCTTAGAGAGAATGAGACCGACGGACTCGGTAGCGTCGCGCTTACGAACGACCTTGGTGGCGATGTCGACGTTCAGGGAGGATGAGAAGCCGATGAAGACGGGATCAGCCACTTTGACAAGACAGTTGTCGACGCAATAAGCATGAATGTGCTCAATGCCGCGCTTTCGCATGTCGTCAAGAACGCCAGAGACAATCAAGGCCTGGTAGATACCGCCGTTGCCATCGGGGGCTACAGCAACCTTGCCCTTGCTCTCAAGAAGAATCTTGCCCTCGTTGGAAATGCAGGGCAGGACTCCTTGGTCAAAGATCTTGACGTTGGCGGCATCTAGGCCAAAGTACTTGTTCTCCTCGAAGAAGGCCTCGGTTGGCTTGTGGGTTGGGCCGCTGGTCATGACGTACCAGGGAACAACGACGGACCCAGTGCCGGCATTCTTGGCAGCAAGCTCCTGAATCTTGCGGATTCTCTCAGCCTGGATCTGGAACAAGCTCTTGTGCGAGGGTAGCCCAATGTCGTAGCAACCCTTGGGCGCTGAGCTGCCCAATCGAGTTCCCTGGCCACCAGCCATGAGAACCACAGCCACCTTGTTCTTGCCAATGAGGTCCAAGCCGGAGCTGTACCACTTGTTGATGTCATCGGCACTCGAATCGAGGATACTGGCTTGAGCGGATTCGGGGAGGGGCTCGAGGGTATCGGGGGTGTCTGACTTGGTCTCACCAAGGGCTCGTTTGGTGATTTCGTTGATGTAGACAGGGTTGAAGCCTGATAGCTGGTTGTACAAAGCAGCCTTGTCTTCGGTGCTCAGAGAGTCGTAGAAGGTGAAAACATGGTCCTGGCCGGCTTTGGTGTACTCGGCCTTGAGCTGGGCATAGGCCTCTGCGGAAGGTTCTGATGGCTTGGCGGCATCGGCCTCGAAGCCAACGTTGAGCATTTTCTTGACCTTGTCCATGCTGGAGGATGTGGATGGAGGAATTGAGTTCTAACGGTGCGTCGTTGGGTCAATGTTTTGAAGAAACAAGACAAGAATGGCTCCAGCAAAAGATTAGAGTGGTGGGTGAGATTAAAGGGAGGGAGGGAGGTAGGAGGGGTCTCGTATCTAAATGGCGTTGAGTCTGGGGGGCAAGGAGAAGAAAAGGTAGGGGCGACACACGTCAAGGAGGGCGGAGAGATGGCGGTGATTATAAGTAAATATTTTTGAAACTCAACAATAGAGAGGTTTTGAAAAGGGTAGGACACAGCTGTGGTCGGTAAACACTCCAAAGGCATGCGTGTTGATCCAGTCTGGACAGTCAACGGGCAACGGGCAACGGACCAGCAGTAGTCAAGCGGGCTGACGTCGACTACAAGGGCTCCTCCGCTCATACGTCCGGAGTGGGTCTAGGTTGTGCATGTACATACGGTAGTGCGCAACGTCCCAGCCAAGGCATTTGGGAGCCTGCACAAGCTAGCCCTTGTCAAGGGTTCTCAGGCCAGTGGCGGGGCAGCAACTGTCTGGCCTGGCCTGGCCTAATTTGTTGCAGGTGGAGGCTGCAGATCCAGATGCCGCCATTGGTGCCTGCCGTGGTGCCCAAACTATTTGTACCGAGTATTACAAGAGCAGTTGACGATTGTGAGTCTTCGGAATTCCAAACAACGGCCACGAGCCCATGTCTGTCCTCGGATTCATGCAAACGTGTTGTACAGCATTGACCACTGTTTGATGGCCCGGCAGCAACAATGGAAGCACCCCGTTGCCCAGTGCTTCTCGTATCCAGAGTCCCTACTCACGTCGTGCAGTACTAGTCCGAGCCGCGAATTGCGTACGGGGCGACGGGGTGATCGGCTCCAGGGGAGTTCAGGCACCTGAGAGCTCGGTGGAGCCACAACCAACTTTACTTGGATTATTGTGCTGTCAAGGTTTGTGCCGCCATCAGTGGAGGCTGCGAGGCTGATGTCGTTGTTCTCAAGGAGGCGCAGCTGCCCCCGTCAGGAACGATGCTGAAAATAGCTTTGTATGCTCAAGCCTATCGGCCGTCATACCTTGAGATTTTCTCATCGACCCGCACCACCCTTCCACAGATGCGCAGCCTGGTCTCATCTTCGTATTGGTTCTTGGGCCATACCAAGGGGCGGCATCTCTCATGCACACTCTCATAAAGGCCCAGTGACGTCTCAAGTGTGGGAAGAGCTGAAAGAGCTCCTCCACTAGCCGACTGGCGATATCATTTAGTCTGGTCAGGGTGCTCAAGTGGATCAGGGACCGACCGGTCTAGTAAATTAAATCATGTAAATATGAATTACTTGGCCGGTTCACTTATCCCCTTATTATTTATTGAATTTAATTTTTTTATACGTGATTTATAATGAATTATATTTCCGTCTATTCAAGCACTCCTGTAAAACGTAAACGTACCTTTTACGTGTATTGGTTAACTCCTCGGGTGATTTAGAAATATGTAAACCGTAAATAAGGCTGAATTCTCAACGACGGGATTTGCAAGTTAATAGATTCTCCGATTACCGGCCTCAATCGACCACTCACTCACTATTATTGCTCATCTAATCAGCTAGCTACCCACGTCCCCCGTACAATTCCGTCCTTTCAAAACTGCAGCTTAAAAAGTAGAGCCTACAAGCAGCAGAAAATGCATGATGCAAGATCTGGCAGTCTCGAGGATAGGAAGGGCCATTGAGTTTGAGGCAGATATATTGCCGTGTCGGGACGTGGGAACATCTAGTTCAGCCGCACGGCCAGGCATACATGGCATCTCAGCCATGCGTGAATGAAACATGGCAAAAGCTGTAGAAATGCACCATAGATTTCTTGTATTCGTAAGATTGATTCAATATGTGCAAAGAGAAATACATAATCAAATAGTACTAATACATACGATAAAGGAACAACGCACAAAAGTAACACGGAGACATGGTTGTAAAACTTCATCGAGAGCCACACACTCCATCCGCCACCTTGTCACAGATTCACTGCGTCTTCACCTCCCCTCCCCTCGAAAACGCAACACCAGCAAACATTTATATACTCGCCCAACACCAGCCATGACGGACGATCGAGGCCGCAAGCCAGCGACCTTCCAAGGCCGCCTCCAACTAGACGCCTTCAAATACACCACCGCCGAACCAACGCGCCGCAACCCTCCTCGCGCGGCCTCAACCCCCTTCCAAACCAAAGCCCAAGATGAATCTCAAACCCCGTCCCCATCCCCACGGAAGCGCACGTCATCATCGCCGCCAAAATCATCGCCAGCGAAGAAGAAACGCGCCCGGCAGGCAACAGGCTACGCACCGCCCTCAACATACGCCCACCTCCCGCTACTCCCAGACGCCATCGCCCACAACCTCCTCGTGCTCTTCGTCGGCCTCAACCCGGGCATACGGACCGCCATGACCGGCCACGCATACAACCACCCATCCAACCTCTTCTGGAAGCTCATGTACTCCAGCGGCGTCACGCCGCGGCGGTGCTACGCCGAGGAGGACCGGGACATGCCGGCCCTGTACTCGCTTGGGCTGACCAACATCGTGGCTCGACCTACGCGCAACGGCTCGGAGCTCAGCAAGGCCGAGATGGACGACGGCGTCGCCCTGCTGGAGCAGAAGGCGAGGACGTACCGGCCCGAGAGCATGTGCGTCGTGGGGAAGAGCATATGGGAGAGCATATGGCGGGTGCGGCACGGGTCGAACGTAGGCAAGCAGTTCAGGTACGGGTGGCAGGATGAGGAGGAGAACATGGGCGCCGTGGAGGGGTCATGGGCCGGCGCGAGGGTGTTTGTTGCGTCGAGCACGAGCGGTTTGGCGGCGACCTTGGCGCCGGCCGAGAAGGAGAGGATATGGGGTGAGCTGGGGGCGTGGGTGAAGATGAGGAGGGCAGAGAGGGAGGCTGCCGAGAGCAAGGAGGAAGAGGAGGAGGAAGAGGAGGAGCCCGAGGGATGTGGTGACTAGGGATAAAGTATAAGTAGGGTCACTGGTGAGAGGGGATACAAGTTATACAGTAGAGCGTTTATAATGCTGAGCGTAGACGGGAGAAGTTGGATTCACGACCATCATGGACAGGATGAGTGGCATATTCAAATCATTGCGACTCGCCTACATACTACACTTGAGTTTCCCAATCGTCCCGTTACAAAAAAAAAGCGCACCTTCCTCTTGACTCCGTACGCCAAATTGAATACTCTATCGCCAACGCCGCCGTTGATTCTTCACCTTTCCACGCCTCCTTTTTTTGTCTACTTGCACCGTTTCTCAACGACACCAGCACCGTTCTCCTCATACTCCTTTCTCGAGATCCACATTTGGTGGAAAGTTCCCAAACTGGCCAAAATACTGCCGCCAATCCAGGCACCGAATCGTCGCTCGCTCGAAAGACCGGCGGCGTGGATCTTCACCTTCAGTCCGGGGTACATGGCTGTTAGTTCGTTGCTCAGGCGATCGTTGAAGCCGTTGATTAAGCTGGTGCTGCCGGTGACGACAACGTTGGCGAGTAGATTGCCGCGCAGGTCGACATCCACAGCACCCAGGGAGGCGCGGATGAGTTCGGGGATCGTTTGGGCCTTGGTGAGCCGTTCTGCCTCCGGAACAGGGTATCCGGCATTCTCATCCCAAAGGCCTTCGGTGACCTTGAAGCGCTGCTCGCGCCACATTTGATTGTAGCCGTCGGGCATTTCGAAGACACGACCTGGCTGTGTCTTGATGTAGTCCTCGTTATTTGGGGCGCTGTATCGGCCTGGCCCGCGCCAGACCTCAACAACAGACTCCTTGAACTCGGTAAGGACCCGTTCTTCTTCGTAGGCGCGGAAAGAATCAGTAATCTGAAAGGGAAATTCCCGTAATCGAGCTTGGGCAGGTGCTAAGGCATCGACGGGGGACTTGTTCTCGACCATGTATGTCGGTGTCAGTTGGACCTTGGGCTCAGATGTTTCCCACATGTTGCGAATCTGAGATGACAGCCAAAGGCCACCCGCTGGAGAACGCTGGATGGATCGCTTCAGAACCATGCCATCGTGAATCGCGGTGACGGAGGTGTTGGCACCACCCACATCGATGACCAGGGCAGTAGCCTTGCCAGCCGCGAAGGCAGACAGCACCGGGGTGCGGCTCAGCCAGAAGGCAGGGCACCCCCAGTTCTCCATAATGATCTCGATGGCCTTTTCCCGCGACTTAGGCGTGTTCCATGGTGCCTCTGTCATCAAAATGGGATTCTCCTGAAGAGGCTTTTCTTGGTTTTCAGCTTCATCCATGGCTATATCTCCCTCGCCATCCTGCTCCTTGACGTCGTCGTTCAATCCGTTTTTCGAGGGCAGCGTTTGGTGCTCCGGTTGCAAGCGCTTGATGAGCATGTTCTCCCAGATCTTAGGCGCAACATCCCAGTCTTCTACGACGCTGTCTCGGTTCATGTAGTTGCGGATCTCAAAATCGGCGCGGGGGATGATGTATTCGTCACCAAAGAGGTCGCGTTGAGGTTCGCCAGTGACGTGACCGTAGAACGAGGGCAGGACGGATTTGGGCACATCTTCGCCGGCGAAGCCTGCGCGAGTGTTGCAGTAGCCGGGGTCGAGAACGAGGGCAGATACCTCATCTGCACGATTTCTATGTTAGCATTTGCATTCGCAGGATGGTTCGCGACGCACTATCGCGAGGAAGACGGTTGAACGGTTTTCTGCGTACCTCCACCGTAAATGTCGGTGGGGACTGCCGACGTGGACAAAGGCTGCTGGGCCATGATTCTATCTCCGAGCTTGTCGCGAAAATGCAGCAGGATGGCCAATGGGTTGAGATGATGCGCGTGGCCTGGGAGAGGATGCGAGATGGAGGATGTATGCGGAGGATGGTTAAAAGTTGCAGGCTCTGGACTCAATTGGCTTGAGCTCGGTGGTGCCAAATGCAAGGCTCTGCGCTGCTGTGCCTGGTCCGTCCTCTGGCTTGCTCCAGCAAGCTAGCCTCTGACTGGCGGGGCTGTTGCTTACTTAAGTAAACGCCAACAGGGGAGAGTCCGACACCCAAAATGAAAATTGGACAGCAACCGCAATCCTTTTTCCCAATTTTCTCTTCGTGCAGTTTTACGAGCTCCCACTACTGGGGCAATTGTTCCAAGCGATGGCTATGAATGTAAGTATGCACTCCGGTCTCTGCACTCTGGAATCCAATCACTTTTTTCTTCATGATGAATTCGCAATTTCGCTTCAGAACCGCTGCGATTGACATGGCTTCGGCCGTGCGTGATTATACAATGCCATCACCTGACAAGACAAACTTCTCGTGGCCTGCTCTATTTTTGACCAATTGACGCGACTATTGGAAGCTAACATCTTAATCAACAGGCACGATGAGACCATCTGCGTGCCTCCGACTGGCTCGCCGGTCGTCTGCCATCTCGCAGCGATGTTCTGCAACGAGCACCAGTCCGTCGATTCGGATAAGTTGCTCTTTATCTTTGGAGACGACACACTTCCGAGCAGGAGCCCGCAGGCTCTTCTCAGAGTCGGTTAAGAAGGCATCGAGGTTTACGGGTGCTCAGGATAGTAGCGAAAGCTTGTCGCCGTTCAAGCAGCACCGGCGAGATGGGCTTCGCGAAGACCAACAGAGTGAGGATCCACTGTACGCTGATCCGTATCCTCGACTAGAATCTTCCACAACTCGGAAGAGTGTGCCAGAGTTTCTTGAGGACTTCGATGAGCAAGCGCCCAGTGAAGAAGTGACGTTATCAGGTCGTGTCCGTTCAAAGCGTGTAGTCGGCAAATCCCTCATCTTCCTCGACATCGTGAACGAATTCCAGAAAGTGCAAATCATGATCAACAAGAATAAATGTGTGTCAGAGAAGCATGGCCGCATACAAAAGTTTTCCCTGTTTAAAAACTTGATCCAAGTTGGCGATCACATCTGTAGGACTCCCATTGTACCAATCCTTGACCTCCCACTTTTGGCTGACAAGGTCTGTAGCGGTAATTGGTAATGCAACTCGTACAAAGGCTGGAGAGCCGACCCTCCAAGCTATCCAGCTCCCAGAGCTTCTGTCTCCGTCGATGGAGCAGATACCTGAAAAGCTCACCGACCCCAAGGCGAGAATGGCAGACCGTCACGTCGACATGCTCGTGAACAGAGAAGTGGTTGACGTGCTGAGGTTGCGAGCCGAAATCACAAAGTTCATGAGAGACCACTTCCATTCAAAACGCTTCTTGGAATTCCAAACCCCAATTTTGGCTGAAAATGCTGGGGGGGCGGTTGCTCGGCCTTTCGTCACCCAGGCCACTGAATTTCGGAAAAAGGATCTGGCTTTACGTATTGCACCAGAACTTTGGCTGAAGCGTCTTGTTGTTGGGGGTGTTGACAAGGTGTTTGAGATTGGTCCCGCCTTTCGCAACGAAGGCGTCGATGCCACGCACAACCCAGAGTTTACGATGTGCGAGTTCTACAGCGCCTACACCAACTTGGCGGACCTCATAAAAGAGACAGAAGAACTCTTGTTCGGACTCGCCAAACACACGCAGGAACTCATTTCAACCCAGCTAACCACCCTCCCACCAATCGACTTGAGCCGATTCGTCCGACCCTTTAGGCAGATTGAATTCATCCCCGGCCTCGAAGAAGCTATGGGAATCCGCTTCCCTAAGCTGTCCAGTGACGATGCGCTACCAGAGCTTCTCGCTGTCCTGAAACTTGCTGGAATTACCGTCCCCGGCGAAGTACCCAACTCCCTCCCCAAACTCCTCGACCGCCTCGCAGCCGTATATTTAGAACCCATGTCATTCCACGAACCCATCTTCATAACCAACCACCCGGCCTGCATGTCACCACTGGCCAAAGGTTTTCTATGCCCAAAAACGTATCAACTGGTGTCTGCCCGCGCAGAACTTTTCGTCGGCGGCCGTGAACTGGCAAACATGTACGAAGAAGAAAATGATCCCGAAGAGCAGAAGCGCAAACTTGCCTTTCACCGTACCCTCGTGAATAAGCCCAATGGCGAAGTCGGGTTCGAAGAAGCAGCCGGGGAGCGGGAACCTACACTCGCAGAAGAAGCGGAGATGGATGAATGGGAAGGGTCCCCGCTAGATCAGAGTTACGTGAAGGCCTTGGACTTTGGTTTGCCGCCCACAGGGGGATGGGGATGTGGTGTTGAGCGGTTGGTGATGTTGTTTTCAGGAGCAAATCGGATTAGCGATTGTCTGAGTTTTGGGACGTTGCGAAATGTAGTTGGCTTGTCGACAGATGAGAAGGCTACTGATAGGAGTGTATAGGACTTGTACCACGTATGAAAAACCTGGGCCCTATTTGTATTACTATTTCTGTACAATATTTGATAGAAAAGCAAGGCCGCGTTGTGCTGATCCGCATTTCATATAGACCCCCTGTGTTGAGCGGTTTTGCAAGGGTCACGTCGGTGTGTGCAATGCCTAGATTCAGCAAGCCAAATTGACAGATTGAATGATGTACAAGAACAGAAAGATTACGCTGGCCTTTCCCACCTCCTAAGCGCTACCCGAGAACGGATGTTTCCAAAAAAAAAAAAAAAAAAAAAAAGAAAGAAAAAAGGTCACATCTAGCTATATTCAAAAAAGAAACTGCTCTTCTGTCCTACAAGAATTTCCTGCATATCCACCAGCATTTCACTCAGCTCGACAGCTGGAACAAGCTGCTCAGCTTGAGCGCCTTGTCATCCGTCGGCCTGTTCAACCACGACAGCACAGTCTCGTCATCGAGGCCCTTTGCAAAGTCCACATCGTCCGACAGCTTCTTAATCGATACACTGGCCGTCTCTTCGTGGAAAACGGTAGCCACCTTGATGTACTCGTCCGTCGGCCTCTTGAAGTAATCCGAGCTGCCCGCGCCGTTGGCCATGTGGAAGGTGCTCTTGCACTTGGAGTCCCCGGGGGCCAGGACCTCGAAGATGTCGAGCTCGCCGCAGCCGGTGCCCCAGCACGAGCACCCCTTGTACTGGGCGGCGCGGGGGATGGCGGCGTTGAGGGCCCAGACGGCGGGCATGTCGGGGTTCGCGCAGCCGGGGGACCCGGGCCGCGTGCCGGCCGGGCAGCGCGTCCCGTCCGAGGGCATCTTGAACTCGAAGAGGAAGACCTTGTTGGCGCCGCCGAAGCCCTTGTACGCGATCGAGGGGACGCGCGAGAAGCCGCAGCTGCCGTCGCACTTTTCCGCCGAGAAGATGGAGAATTCTGTGTTGGAGGGGATCAGGATGTTTTCGAGGATTTCCGGGGACGAGGCGCCGCCGGTGCCGGTGGAGTTGAGATACGAGAGGGAAAGGCCCCAGACACTAGAGGTTTATAATTAGTAGGTTTTCCGGGACGGTTATCAAAAAGGGAAGTCGTGTATGGGGTGGGTGAGAGGCTTGGTGTCGAGAGTGGTCAACGTACGTGTCGAAAACCCCGGAACCCTGGCCGCCGTGGTTGCCCATGAAGACGATGTTCTCGGAAACTTGCTTCACAGCGTTGTAATAAGCCACACGATCCCAGTCAGATCCCGAGGGGGCAGGCTTGCCGCTGGGCTTCTTGTCGGTGGGCTTCTTGTCAGCAGGCTTCTTGCTCGTAGTAGCAGTGGTATCGGCATCAGCATCCTTATCCTTCACAGCAGCAGCGCCTGCGCCGGCCTGGACCTTGGGAGCCGGGGCCGGGACAGGGTTGGGTGCGGCAGTAGGACCAAAGTAGTCGTTCTCCCATGTCACAACCTTGCCGTTGATGGTAGCAGTTACGATGTCACCTCGCTTGTCCCGCTGAGCACGGTGTAAAAACCGGTGGCCGTGTCTATGTCGTGCCGAGATCTTGGATGTCTCGGGGCCAGATTTATCAACGCCGACTTCAAGATCGATCTGGTTGCGCTTCTGGTTTGAAGCGAGGTTGTAGACGGCGAATTGCCTGAGTTCAAGAGGTCCTCGGAAATGAACAGAGAGCTTTGAAGTGTTAGAACGTTGTTCTTGAATGCAACTTGTGTGCCAGGTCTTTAAGAGAAGTCGGCAATGCGGTGATGGGACTTACATCTTGGTCCAATGGAGCCAATGGTCCGCGGTAGGACTGATCTTTTTGAAGACATTCTCCGGCATCGCTCATTTCGGTTACTGCCTTGAAACTGCCTTTGCCTTGGATCCCTTCGTAGAGGATCTGGTCCACGGCACCACAGAACCAGTTGCCGCCTTCGTCGACGGCCTCGCGACTGCTGCATTGCTGAATGAGGGCAGTGGCTAAGCCTGCAGAGGCCAGTAGCACGGAAGCAGTGTACTTCATTTTACCTGGAAGCTATCAGTGTTTATGAGCGTGCCATCCAGTTTGAGACGAACAATACCTTTGATGTCTTATATGTAATGGGAAATTCAAAGGGTCTCACTAGCTGAATTCCAGAACAATCATTCTAGAACACGTCTAAATAAAAGGACTCAGTCTAGTATGAAGAGAATGAGGGGATTCGCCAAGGCAAAAAAAAAAAAAAAAAAGGGAGTGGCAGGTGAAGATTGCGAATGTGCCCTCTCACCAAAAGGGCAAAACTGAATGGATTGACAAGAATTCCAGAAAAGACGAAAATATCACCAGGAACATACGGGAGGAGGAGACGAGGGCAAGGGATCTTGTGAGTTTTACATGCTACACTCCAGCCCCTGTTTTATCAACCACCAGGCCGTGACCTGACGAGGAAGCCGTGAACAGGGGTTCAACTCCAATTTGCGGTATTCGTTATTCAACCCTGTGGAAGAATTGCCAAAAAAAGAGGGAATTTCATGCCCCCATCGTTCTACTACCATCCTTTCAGTTTATTGGTTGTATACACCCCTGCTTTATACCGGGCGGCTCATAAAACAGTGGTTGGGGTATAACTGCCCCTTGTCACCTGAGGGTCTACAGTGGGAGGCAAAAATTCTGGTATTGAACCAGGTCAGGTAACTGGCTAACACGCTCTATATCACAATATACTGTAGTATATTAGTGCACTTGGTATCCCGCCACAGACGGTAGGGCCATTGATGACCATCCACCGGGAGGAATGCATGCTTGATAAACGCTCCACAGCCGCCAAGAAGAAGGCCGACCCAAGCCCCTAAGTGCTAGTACGTACTATTACTCCGTACTACCTAGGTAGTTCGTCTGGGCGAGGAAAAGGGGGCTGACAGCTCGTGCCTGCTTCCAATTCCCGAGGCGAGAGGCGAGAGTCGTCAAGACGTTGGCGAGTTGGTTGGTTGGTTGGCAAGCAACTCGGCAGATAATCCCCGTTGGGGTTGAAATCCGAGTTTCTGATTAGCAGAAAACTTGTGCTAGCACCAGTTTCCTCTCCTTACGCGAACCCTCTCGGGGTAAGTCTAGTGAAGTGAGCAGACGATCAGGTCAGCCTCTTGTCGATTTAGGCGCTTGGTTGTTGGACACAATATTCTCGTTGCGCCCGTCGTTGAAGCCCAGCTGTTCGATCGTTCTGAGAACCAATTCGACAACCTGCTACCAGTGTCAATGACGGTTTTGACCAACCAAGAGCCCAGTTCACCACACTTCAAGAGCAGTATCAACAGGACCCGATTATTCAACGTGCTCGTCATCACATGTCTGTCGTTCAAATCCAAACCCGAAATGAAAAATGCCCAAATTCAGCCGCGGCAGACTCCCGGTGCTGACTGAGTGCGTTAAAATTGGGTTGCTCGTTTGCCACTATAGTAAAGTAGAAAAGATGCGATCAAGGCGGTGATGGTGACGGTGGTGATGCTGAAGGGGTGCGGTTATCGCATGCAGCGTGCAGCTTTCAAAGAGCACGTGTTGGTGTGGTTTCGGGTTTCTGTGTTCAAGTCAAGACAAGGCAGGTTATGTCATGTCGTGTCATGTCATGTGGGCAGGAGCGAACGAAAGAGCCAAAGGCCCCAACCAAAGGAATGCATACAGTGGGAGGCAAAAAGTACACCAGATCAAGTGCCTGTCTATCGTGCTTTATATTATGGTATACCACAGTATGCTAGTGTATACCTTTCAGCGGGCAGATATATTCTACCATAGACTATACTTCAGGTGGCTGGAAGTGCAACTAGGTATGTATTGTTTTCTCTCGACCGCCCCGTGGAGTCTAACATGAATTCAGCTCTCATCACGCCGTCTATCCTTTACCAAGTTGGGTTCGAGCCGAGCCGACACATCATACATGTACAGCCGTTCGTCCGCCACATGGAGATTGGCTATGTGGCTGTGGGCAGAGCCGCCCTCGATGCTTAAGCGCTCAGACCTGTCATACGGTGGCATATTAGCTAAGCTCCGCACGATGCTGCCAAATCGATTTTTGCGTTTTTACGATTTTACGATTTTCCGCAAAAAGGCCTAAAAGCAGGAATATTCTCAACCCATAATGCTTTTTATAAGAAAAGCACTATAGTAAATATAATCACTAGAGGCACGCGATAAAAATATACTATTTTTTATTCTGCTAAAAACGCTGTGTAGGCAAAGGCCCGGTGCAGCCAAAGGCCCTGTACAGCTAAAGGCCTTGTGCAGCGTTTTTGGCAGCGTTTTTGGCAGCGTAAAAAATAGTGTATTTTTATCGCGTGCCTCTAGTGATTATATTTACTATGGCGCTTTTCTTATAAAAAGCGGTTAAGAATATTCCTATTTTGTAGTGCCTTTTTGTAAAAAACGTAAAAATCGGAAAATCGGAAAATCGGAAAAACGCAAAAACGCAAAAACGCAAAAATCCAATTTGGCAGCATCGTGCGGAGCTTAGCTAATGTGCGACCGTACCTGTCACCATCAAACTGGAAGACTTTCCGTTTTACCCTTGTGGAAGGTGTGGATCATTGTTCTTCAACCACATGCAGGCCAGCATGTGTTGTCTAGGGCTGAGCGGCACAAGCCCAACCAGCAGCCAATGTTTCAATTTTCCATCTTGTGTTGCCTTACGGCCATCGCACTCGGCGATCAGTCATTACCTAAATGCCTGGGAGGAGGAGGCGCTATGCGCGGGTGTTTGACCGCGCCGAACTAGACCCTGGGGTTCGTCCGACCAGACATGTCAGCACATCAACGGTGATGTATATTCAAACCTCCCAGTTGATTTTTCCGCTTGCTACCGCTACGTCTATGGGGTCACGGAAACACCGCACTGTAGGCGCATCTTGTTCTCAACATGACGGCCTCCATGTCTAGGCCACACTGGCTGGTGCCAAGCCTGATGATCGGGAGTCTCATATGTGGCATAGCCTTTGCCCTCGGCCATCACTTTTTCTACGCCTCCTTGGATTCCCGGATTGTTCAAAGCAGCACCCAACAGGAATGGAACATTCGCATTGGAACTGGCATGGCATTTCTAGTGAAAGCGTTCCTGACGGCAGCTGTGGGATTTGCGTACACGCAACTTCTTTGGACAACGTTGGCATCACGCAATTCCACGTTAGAAGGGATAGATGCCATGTTTGGCGTTGCCACCAATGCTTGGGACTTTCTCAGTTTGGAGCTGTGGCGAAAGGGACTTGGATTGGTTGCGGTTGCTAGTGTCTTATGGTAGGTTCTACGACGAGATATATCTCTTTTCAACTCGTCTCTAGCTACCCTTGATACATGGCGCGCTCGTTAGCCGTTAAGACATTCTTCGATTTACTAATAATGGACTCGAATGCTCCAGGGCTTTACCCATTGTTGCCGTATTCACCCCAGCAGCACTTACGGTTCAACCGTCCTCAGAGTCCAACAAAACAATACATCGCCTTCATCTACCCACCTTGAACTTTAGCGACCCGCAGACCTTTTCTATATGGGGAGGGGACGGCATGGCTGGATACGAAGCCCCTTCGATCGCTGTCTCCCGATTGGTGTCATCAGTCGCTTCCCAGGGCTCAATCATTCCCATGAAAGCACCCTATCCAAATAGCTCATTTTCTACCAGTTTTCACGCTCCTTCGTTATCATGCCGGCCAATGGGGGGAGGCCCCGAGTTTCACGCTGCATTTGACAAACTCTTCCTGAATCTTACCGAGCCAAATTTTGGAGCGGGTAGCACGGAGAAATCTTTCTTTAGCTTCGTTCCTCAGCATCCGCTGGTTTTAAGAAAAAACGAAACAGACGACTGGAAACTCAGAACTCTTCTCGGTTTGCAAGCAATCCTCGATAAGGCTGGGTCTGCCATGTTGGCCACTGTTGACGGTCTTGAAGACCCTAGATCTCCTTGCTGGTTTTATGTCGGGTTTCCGATAGTCCAGGGATACGCGAATCGGACGATTCAATGTGGACTATATAACTCATCCTACGATGTGGAGTGGAAATTCAGTAACGGTCAACAAACCACCACAGTTCGCAACATGACGAGACTTAATCCTGTCAGCAGAGCCAATGCAGATAACAAGCTAATGTATTACGCCAACGGAACGCCTGATGTTCCCTACGTAGCTGTTATGGATGCGTTAGGTGCCTTACTGATGGGATGGATACAATCATCACGTTTCGGCGTTATGTGGCCGTCACGAACGCAAATCCTGTCCACCGTCCTTACCCAGACTTACGAAATGCAACACTTGCGACACTCGGCTCTGAAACTTGTCCCAATAGAACCACAATCGCCACACAAGACAAATCTTACTATGGTGGAGGCCATGGAACAACTTGTAACCAACATCAGCTTGAGCCTTTTCAGTGTTGGAGACTTCCTGTAAGTTCTTAGTAGAATGAACTCCCCGCCTCGAGACGACATTGTGCTAAGCATCAGCGGCGAAATGCAGAAATGATGAAACGGGTAGCCCAATCGGGAACATTACCTCCGAGTCTCCCCTAAATGAGTACTCATACAATCCCCGCAATCTTTACGCCGCATACGGGACCGGTATTTTTGTAACATTAGTCGTTGTGATAATCGGTCTTGTTTGTATCGCGGCGTCGTCCAGATCGTACAAGTCGAATTTCTCCACAATCCTACGCACCACACGAAATGAGGAACTAGACGCTGTGGTAACTAGGGGAGAGACAACAGGGGCGGAGCCGCTTTCAACACACCTTGGCAAAACGAAGCTCAGGTTTCGGTACAACCCGGCTGAAGACAGTCCATCCAGAGGCTCAGCGTTTTCTGTCGTTTCGGGCGGGAAAGCTAGTAGTTATGAGCCTGTGAGCGCAATGCCGCGTGACTCCTCACCCTCCCAATCAGAGCGCGATAGCACCTGATGGTCGTAAGTGCCAGTAACAGAGGCAAGCCTGAGTATATGAAGGCCGAGATCCTAGCCAACGGGTCTGCCCGGCTCCCAGAGAACAATATCCAAGACCGCAAAGGAGAACCTCATGAA